ACTATATTATTTAGAGAATAATGACAAGAAAAGTTCTGTATATGTCCAGCGCAGAAACAATATTTTTTCAAATATTGATCTATGGTTGCACACACAATTAAGAACCAGTGAAAAGAGAGGTCTGGCTGTATTAAACATAAGTAAGTGCCCCTGGCAAGTTTCCTGTGGATATCTGTTAGGCGTTAACATTAGTCATCAAGGTTTTAGTTTTACTTCAGCTGCTGTTGCTTACTAGGATTTGTTTATATTTTAGACTTGCAAATGTTATGTAAGTACTTACAATGGTCCCTTCTCCAGGTATTTCAAATCTTTTAAAAATGACTGAAAGAATATCCTCAAAACAAAAAAATTGGAGCTGGGGATGTAGCTCAGTGGTGCAGTGCCCCCCTGGCAAGCACAAGGTCCTGAGTTCGATCCCTGGTACTGGAAAAAAAAACCAAAACAGTATTTCTAAAGGATGCAACAAATTGCTTCAGTTTCTCAACTGTGTATATTGCCAAAAATAGTGGTAGATATGATAATATATGGTGGAGTTGTATTGGAAGGATCAACCTTCCAGGTGTAAACAAATCATTAAAGGCAAATTGTGTCACAAGATTGTGTAACATAATAGCTTAAAAAATTGGGTATTAGGACGAGTATTTAACAGATTTGTTTTTTTAATTATCACTGTGATCATGCAGCTAAACTTTTCTGGTTAACTTCCTCCAGTCATAAAAAGCAGAGTTCACTTTTTAATCTGTAGCATATGTATGTATATATGTATGTATGTATGTATGTATGTATGTATTAGAGTATTGAACCCAAGACCTTCACACTGAGCTACATCCCCAGACCTCCCACAACTTTTTATGTTTTACTTCAAGATAGGGTCTTCTAAGTTGCCCAGGCTGAGCTGAAATTTGCCATCCTCCTACCTCTTCCTCGAGCAGTGGTAGGATTAAAGGTATGTACCATCACATTATGCTCTTTAATCCTTAAATCTTCTTAGGGTCACATGGTAGCCAGGAGGCAGCAGGCTGCTGTAAGGCAGCAGAGCAGCATGTGGACCAGCAGCTGAAGTTAGTGGCACATTGGAGGTTAGGTCACGGTTGGGACCTTGGTTTTTGGAATGATTAGAATGAAGAGGATGGATTGGCTGTAAGGGTTGTAGATGCAAAAATATTGGCTATGGTAGAAGGAATTAAAGGATAGATCAGATTGGGGATAGAGGTACAAATGCATGGAAAGAAAACAGAAGCAATAGAGAAGTTGGTTTATAGGTCAGGAGTTGAATAAGAAGCAGCAAAGAACCATTATACAAGATTAAAATTAATGCATTCTAGAGCATTTTTTCCTTGGCTTCCAGCCTTTTAAATGCTATCTTATTCTAGAATCCTAGAACCAAAGATTCTACACCCGCAGACTTAGAGTTAGGATCAGGATTTTTTTTTTTTGGTACCTGGACTCAAACTTGGGTCTTTGTGCTTTCGAGGCAGGAGGCAGAACCACTGAGCTTAATCCTCGGCCCAAGATCAGGATTTTTAAAAATTAAATGACATTGTCTACTGAGGGCAGAGAGAAAAAAAAATAGCAGATAGCAAAGCTGACCATCATGAAATTATGAAAAGATATTTGGCCAAAGTTGCTGAACTGTTACTCATTGTTGTGGTCATTATCATTTTAGTGTTTAATGACTCTTTAAAATTGTATGCATATGCACAATTTTGTGATAACCTTGGCAATTCTTTAAAAAATGTTAACATTATTATAATTTTAAAGCAAAACAAAAATCATGATTGTAACATTCTTTTGAAGAGTAATGTCTTATATATCAAAATAATATTATTCTGTCAAATTTAACTAAATTGCATAGCTCACTTTTTAATCTGTATTATTACTTCTTAATTTTTTGTACATTTTGGATATATATATAATGATAACATTTATCACCATAATTTTGTATTTGTATACAATATATCTTGCTTCTTTCTTTCCCATTTCCCTTCCCTCCATTCAACTCCTCTTTCCCTCTTAATTTACAACAGCTTTGTTTCCTTTTTTCCTTCTATTCTCTTTTTTGCCCTTTCTTTCTTTCCCCCTTCCCCACTTCCTTGTTCCCCTTCCTATTTGAACATTTTCTAACAATTTCCCAATATCTATTATATATTTTGGTCCTTATTTCCACTTTCCCTGTGAGATGATGTTTTTAATTCTTTCAGAAAGATACCAAAAAGGAAAACAGCTGGGTGAACTGGAATCTCTAGTTTTCATTTTTTGAGGAATCTCCACACTGATTTCCACAGTGGTTGTACCAGTCTACACTCCCTGCAACCATGGAAAAGGGCTCCTTTCCCCTCCCACAGCTCCCCTACTAACAAAGAAAATCACTGATGGATTCACTGCTGAATTATACAAGGAATTTAGGGAAGACTTAATGCCACCACTTCTCAAACTCCTTAATGAAATTGAAAGGGAACCAATACTCCCTCAAAATTGTATGAGTAGTAATGTGTGGTTAGACGGCTACTATGATTGCAGCAATTGAGAACACTGCATTTTTACTGCTATACATCAAGATGAACATTTTTACTGAATTTGTGTGACTGATTTGGCTTTTTTCTTAGTACTCATTACTGGTGATAATGTTTATCAAATATGGCATTTACCTGAGGGGAGATCTGTTATAGTAGACAAGTTATATTAATTAACTTATCCCATAGGAAGTCATGGTGGTCTACTATAATGATGATACCATGCTAAGTGTCAACTTAGACATGAACTAGATGCAAATGAAAATAGCACTGAGATTCCACCTCACCCCAGCAAGAATGGCTGCTATCATGAAATCACCAATAACAAATGCTGGCAGGGCTCTGGGGAAAGAGGAACCCTGCTCCACTGCTGGTGGGAGTGTAGACTGGTGCAACCACTGTGGAAATCAGTATGGAGACACCTGAAAGAACAGGACTGGAAGTCCCATTTGACCTAGCTATTCCCTTGCTGGGTATCTTCCCAAAAGAATTAAAAGAATCATACCACAGTGATATATGTGCACTCATGTTCAGAGCAGCACAAATTATAATATCCAAAACTTGGAAGCAGCCCAAATGCCCATCAACTGGAGACTGGATAAAGAAAATGTGGGTTTTTTTTTTTTATAAAATGGTTTACTACTCAGCCTTAAAAAATGAGAAATTAGAGACATTTATTGCTAAATGGATGCACATTGAAGCAATAATCTTAAGTGAAATAAATAGGACACACATGTGTAAATACTGAAGTTTCTCTAGTGTGAGAAACTGAAAGTGTAAATAAGCACTAAAAGGTATAATAAATAATGTGAAATAGGGAGAAAAGAGGCAAAGGGGAAGGGGAAGTGGGAGGGGTAGGGTAAAAGAAAGAAGGGAATGGAATTAATATGAGAATATGGTAAAATGGAAACAAAGTTTTTGTAAGTAGGGAGGAATGGAGGAGTTGAAGGGAGGGCAGGGAAATGGGGAAAAAATAAGAACCAAGAGAGATTATGTAAAGGTGCAAATTTCCAATGTTGAAAGTCATTATAGAGTATACCTAAAATGTACCAATAAAATTAATTTTAGAAAGGGGATGTTATGGCAAAATAATCATTTTCCTGATGTTTGGAGTAATTTAATATACTTCTGGAAATGAATTACTAAGTACTTTCTATTATCATCTTATTTCTAAAGATGCTTATATTTAAACAGATAGTTTTGGAATGGGTTTATAGTTATTATTTTTTGAATTAGGAAAATAAAACAAAGGTATATTTAGTAACTCTTATGTGTTGCAAATATAATTGGTCAGAAACAAACCTTGTTAAATTTACTAAGCATATTCTACTGTCCTCTCCAAGATGTCTGAAACAGGCCCTATAGAAGAAAAATAACCCCAAGAAGGGGCTCTCTATTATATCAAATTAGATGTTTCTTTGATTTAGTTAAAAGCAGACCTGATCTATTTTATTCATGGTATGTAATATTAAGAGAAGTAGGCTGATTGCATTTCAGTGAAAGATGCTATTAATAATATGCTTTTTAAAAATTTTACCTAATATAACAGAAATATACTCTTTAAAATTAAATACTCTATGGTGATTTAACACATAAAGTCACCTTCATTTACATTCTAGGGTAAAATATTAAATTTAAAAGTAGATTTTGAAAGAAAACTCAGGAAACTGAGTGATTGAAGTAGGGTAAGACAAAGTGTGTCATCTAACAAGAAAAGAAAGAAATTGAACTGAGTAATGTAAATGTGAATGCTAATTCTAAAATTTCACATGAAAGGTATATATAACATATAATTCTGTTTATTCACCAGATTAAATGTTTCTTAATTATATTTTTGTCTTCCTTTACTTCTATAAGCAGAATAATTTTATTTAGTCACAAATTAACATTTTAACATGACATTTTTAAAAAAGCTATTATGTTTTACTCATAGGATTATATTCCAAGGAGGTAGAAAAACAAACGCAGTTTTAAACTTTTGCTTCTCTTTCTCCTGCTTAATGAATGCATTTTGTTTTTGGATCTTTAATTTTTTAACATTTCTGTTAAACTAAAAGGTACCAATAGTGTTTTGTGTATGCTACTAATGAGGGCCAAGTTGTTGGTATTATTTTCAATTTCAGCAATCACTAGCTTTCAACCTAGGAAAATTTAATCACCCTGACACATGATGTTGTTAGTTTATAAAAGAAAGTCAGAGGTTTATTTACTTGTTTGTTGTTTCATTCTTTGGAATAATTTGGAGACAGGACTATTTAAAATATATATTAATTGCACTTACATTAGCTGTTTTACATCAATATAATTAAATATCTGAGGTAATAAACCTATAAAGAGAAAAATTTAATTTAGCACACCATTTCAGTGATTTCATTTCTTTTTTTTATTAGTACATGTTTTCAGTACATTATGATTTCATGCCTTGTGGGGAATTTGTCATGTACTTAACAACTTTTTTTTCATCCTTTCTCCTCCCCTCCCTCTCACCTTCCTCTTGGATGTTTCATTTCTTGATGGATTTGGATCTTGGGCTTGTTCTGAGGCAGCACCTCATGGCTGAAGAGCACAGTGGAGCAGTATCACTTACCTTTGCTGAGAAATGAAACCGTTGAAAACGGTTTCACAGACCCGTTCAACAGCAGGTCTCAATATCTAACAACATCTCACCAAACCCACCTCTCAAAGTTTCACTACTTCCTAATAATCCCCCAAGGACCAAGTCCTCAACACAGCAGCCTTTAGACAACACTTTAGATCCAAACTATAGCAGCACCATGAACAACATCTTACCTGAACGATGTTCTTAGAGGTACCTTTGCCTTACTGAGTCAATAGTTGTGGAACCAAAGTCATAGAACTAGAATAGAAAAGGACTTGAATTTCAAGTTCAAAAAGCCCAGGACTTTGCCTCTCAAAGGCTGGTATATCACCAAAAGCTGTTAAAAATGTAGAATCTCAGACCCCTACCCCAAAGCGGTAAGTCAGAATCTACATTGTAAGGGGAATCATGCACACACTAAAGTTCAAGAACCATTGCTCTACACCTACTGGGAGAATTCTTATATGAAAATCAATGGAAGAAGAAATTTGGCTCTGAGGCTTCTTTTTAGCATTTTATTTAATACCTTAGAACCTATTTTTCTGAGAGGCTCTCATGCATCAGAAGCTGCTCAGTAATTTCAAGGAGCCCTGGGCTGGTTAGGGACAGAACCCTGAAACCACAGCTAAGTGCTCTTTAAGGTCTGACCCCTGCTCGGCCTCCTGCTGCATGCAGTAATAGTTTCAGGGAGGAAAAAATAGTCTTGTATAATGAAGAAATCGTTCAGTGGTGGCAAGATGAGCACATTAGCAGGCATCACCGCATGGTTTGTACATTCACAAAACAATCTGAATAGATAATGGATGAAAATAATTTTGAAGTATAGTCATTTTATGTAAATAAAAACCATGCCAACAGAGTGATATGTAAACATGCTGTTGGCAGTTTGGTGTGTGAATTTTTCATCTTTGGGATGCATTTTAGGGAGTAGTGACCAAGTGATGATATAGAGGCTGGTGCTTCTGCAGCAGGAGACTGTCATCTGGATTTACAGGGGTTAAATTTCTCACTATAGCCTCATAGTTGCCCCCGAGGGTAAATAAATATCTTCTTTGGGTTATATACAAACTCTGAAATATGTTTGAGAATGAAAAATTAATATCAATTGATTAATATTAATTTTTATTAATAACATATTTTGAATTTTTGATGGGCAAGAGTTGTTTCCTTCCACTACCTCCCAACCAGACATGTTTAGGGACTTTCTACAGCCCAGCTTATTTAAGAAACTATAAATATATGAAAGAAAATCATATCTCTATTACAAAATAAATTCCTATACATATTTTATTTGACTTTCAGAAGCTCAGTGATGCATTATTTTGTGAGCTTTTTCTTAAATCCTAACCTTATGTTCATACTATTTGTAATTTAGGTGTTAGCATGAGGCTTATTCTGTTTTATTCCTATTATTCTTATTTATAACAAGATTAATTTTCATATCATTTTGCTTTTGTTTTGTTTCTCACAAAAATTCTATTGGAATGTTGAGGTTGCACTTATTTTATAAATTAATTTGGGAAAATGTGACATCTTTACAATACTAGCTATTTGTGTTTGAGAATGAGATATTATCTTTCCATATATGAAAATTTTACTTATGATTCAACATGAAGCTTAAAATTTTCTTCTTTTAAAAAACTCTTGTGTTTTTATTACAGTTTTTCAGATTTTGGTTTTATAATATTTTCTATTATTTTTTTTGTCAATCGCTGATTTTCTAGAGAAAAAAACTACTTGTATGTATTAACTTTGTAATCTGTCAAATTATTAAAATATCTTGTTATTTCAAATTTTTAGTTGATATTTTGAATTTGCTGGCCTTAACATATCATTGATTAACAATGGATGTGTGGCCCAGACCAGTGCGGCTGCAGGTAGATCCCAGCCAGGGGTCTGCCTAGACCCTAGAGGCTCCTGCACAACTGCCCAAGCCAAAGGCCCACCCAGAAAAGAACTGCACAGGTGCACAAGCTTCAGCCAGAGGCCCAGCATACCATCCACCACAGCCAAAGACCCACCTAGAAAAGAGCTACACAGGCATACAAACAATACCCAGAGGCTCACCCCGATAGCAGTGATAAGTGTATGGAGACCCTAGCCAAAGCCTGTTCTGGCAACAGGAACTTGAGTGCACAGTCCCCAGCTAAAGGCCCTCCCAAACAATAGCTACATAGGGGGCCCAGTGAGAGGCATGCCTAGATACCATCCCACATGTGCACAGGCCCCAGCCAGAAGCCCACTGAGACAACAGGTCAGCTCAGGGATCCAGAAGGCCACTACTCTGAAGCCAGGAACTGGTGTACTGGTGAGCAGCAGAGTAAATGCTGCTTGGTAAGGGCTGAAAATTCAAGACCACTGGGTGAGCAAAAAGTCACCCGAACAAACGCACTGCAGGCTGCATCTGTTGAAATGAGAAGACACATAAGTAAGTCTCAAAACAAGACTTCCAGATCACCTAAGGCAACCCCAAAGGGCAATGAGATGGAGCAATCCCATACTCAACCACGTGGACTCCCTGAACTGGCAAAAAAGGAGAATCTGGAAAAAAAATGAAATCAAAAATAATTTCTCAGATAATAGCAGAGATTGTGCCCATAGTACAAGACATAATTAATAAATCTAGAGTAGACACAGATAAAAAAAATAGAGGAGCTGAGGAACATGATGGAATCCCAACATAGGAAATAAATGGAATCCATAAAACAGAGGCAAACAGATTTCCAGCAGATTAAAAACTCCATTGAAAGTTTACACAGCAGAATGAGCCAATGTGAGAATAGAATTTCAGATATAGAAGGTAGGATTGCAATTAGTGACCAGGAAAAGAAAAATTCCTTAAAAATAGTAAGGGACCATGAGAAATCAATTCAGCAGCTGCTAGACAATGCAAAGAAGAATAAAATCAGACTGATCAGAGTCAATGAAGACACGACAGTGCAGACAACATAAAGAAATTGTCACCCGAGCTTGATCCCTGGTACCAAAAAAACCCCAAAAACAAATGAACAAACAAACAAAAAAATCCCACCAAAAACCATAAAAAAATTGTCCACAGAAGTACTGGCAGAAAACTTCCCATATAGGGGAAAAGAATTTGACATAGAGATAAGTGAGGCATATAGGACTCCAACTAGCTGTGATAAAAATATTACTCATAGGCATATAATAGTTAAGATTCCAGAAACCCAACAGAAGAACAAAATTCTACAAGCAGTTAAAGAAAAGAAACAAATACAATGGAAAGACCATCAGAATCACAGCCAACTTCTCAACACAAACCATCAAGTCAAGAAGAGCCTGAAGTAATGTATTTCAAGCCCTAAAGGCAAAAAAATTCCAACCCAGATGGATGTACCCTGCAAAACTGTCTTTCAAAATTGATGGAGAAATAAGGTACTTCCATGACAAAGAGCACCTTAGAAACTTCATGAAAAATAAACCAGCACTCCAGAAAATTTTAAACAATATCCTAGGAAATGACAATGAGGGTCACAACCACAGGAGGCCCTGCAGAATGAATCCATCAGGCACGACAAGAAATAAGTGCAAAGAGGGAAAAAAAGAATGTCACGACAAGGATAATTCAATACATATCAGTTATACCCATCAATATTAATGGTCTCAATTCACCAATCAAAAGACATAGACTGGTAGAATGGGTCAAGAAGCAGGATTCAACAATATGCTGCATACAAGAAACACACTTAATTCAAAAGGAAACTCATAGACTGAAAGTTAAAGGGTGGAAAACAATACTCCATGTGACAGGAAAACAAAGCAAAGCAGGAGTACTTATCCTCTTTGCAGATCAAGTGGACTTCAAACCAATACTAAGAGAGACAAAAAAGGACACTACATCCTTGTAAAGGGAACAATTGCAAGAAGAAGAGATGACAATCATCTCTTCAATATATATGCACCAACACTACTGCACTGAACTATATAAAACAAATACTAACAGACATGAAAAATCAAATAAGCACTAATACAATAGTAGTGGGGGACCTCAATACCCCACTGTCACAAACAGATCAACTAGACAAAAAATAAAGAAATACTAGAACTCAATCAAACTCCTGAACAAATGAACTTAACAGATGTTTACAGAGTATTCTACCCCACAAAATCAGAATACACATTCTTTTCAGCTGCATATGGCTCATTCTCCAAAAGAAACCACATACTTGCTCCTAGAACACATTTAAGTAAGTGTAAAGGAATTGAAGTTATTCTCCTGTATATTATCAGACCCTAGTGTGATGAAATTGGAGATCAATAGCAAAAGAAACCGCGGGAATTTCATAAATACATGGAAATTGAACAACACACTTCTGAATAACAAATGGGTCACAGAGAAAATAAAAGAAGAAATCAGATAGTTCCTACAATTAAATGACAATGCCAATAAAACACATCAGAATCTATAGGACATAATGAAAGCAGTCTAAAGAGGGAAATTCATAGCAGTGAATACTCATATTAGGAAAACAGAGTGAGCTCAATTATACAACCTGGTGCTGAACTTCAAGCTTCTAGAAAAAGAAGAGCAGGATAAACCCAAATCTCATACAAGGGAGGAAATTATAAAGATCAGGGCAGAAATCAATGTAATGGAGACTAAAAGAACAATACAAAAAAAATCAATGAAGCAAAGAGTTGGTTTTATGAAAGAATAAATGAAACTGACAAACCTTTAGCCAACCTT